ACTATTGAAACCATCGACCTGAGGACGACGAATTCATGGAAAGGGGACAGAAAGAATATAGCGGGCAAAATTCTCTGAACTGGCTCACTACCAGGAAGGTCTTTCAGGGCGTGCCAAGCTTTTTGAAAACGGTCTTTTGCATGATATAGGGGCACATGCGGGAACCACAGAACCATGGTTAATTTTTCCTGAACGGCCCTCTGAATACCAGAAAAGGGGTCCCTAGTTCGATTCCTCGTGGTGACAAATTTTTGCATTTCGAGTTGACGTTCAAAATTCGCGCAAAATGGAGTTAGCATGAATAATTAGTACCATATTCATGATTAGGACCGTCAGTAACATCAAATGGCCCTCACTTTGGTGTCACACCTTTTTCACCAGTTTTTAATCAAAGTCTATTTGTAAGGGTTACTGACGGTCCTAATCATGAATATGGTACTAATTATTCATGCTAACTCCATTTTGCGCGAATTTTGAAACGTCAACTCGAAATGCAAAAATTTGTCACCACGAGGAATCGAACTAGGGACCCCCTTTTCTGGTATTCAGAGGGCCGTTCAGGAAAAATGAACCATGGTTCTGTGGTTCCCGCATGTGCCCCTATATCATGCAAAAACCGTTTTGAAAAAGCTTGGCACGCCCTGAAAGACCTTCCTGGTAGGTGGCAAGTTGCCAAGTTGCAGAGTGTGGTGCAGGAACCCCACCGCACGATAAACGGCAAAACTGCAGAAGCATTTTTGGTTAGACATGCAGCAGTTTGGCGTCAAGAGCTGTCGTACATACTTCACGACATACACCTCTACTTCGTCAGTATAAATTCAGAATCTATAGGTTTCGCTTTCCTTTCTTTTGTTGCAAATTTTGAGGGCTTCCCAGATAAGCGAAGGGTCTCATCTAGTGAGGAAGGGGGGGGTGGGGGCGGGGTTGGGGGGGGTGGCAGGGTTAGGCGCTTCGCGCGACAGTTCGCACGCAATGACGCTAGACCAACTTTTTTGAAGTACCGAGGTGGGTTTAGAAAGGGAAGCGAATTGGTTCATGCACCTAGGGAATTTCCTCTCCCTGCAAAAATTGAAATTCCTGTAAGCGGCAATGTCGCGGCACAGCCTCCCCCTTACTGGATATAACCCTAAGTGAACATCAAAAGCTTCTTTGTGTAGGGGAAAAGAGGCAAGAAGAGGAAGGAGCCTTCGAATCGGCTTTCGAACTTTCGTGGGCGGCTACGAGTTTGACTGGGTACGGTACCTTCCAAAGCAAATGTTGCGCGCGCAACTCCTTTCGCGTTTGTCACTGAGCCTCCTGCGCTACACCAAAAAAAAACAACCCCAAACATCACTGTTTATTATTTAAATAAAATTTTGTCAATTATGTCGAAGTAAAATAGATCACAGGTGATTACACAATAATACCTATAGGGGATCATTGCTGTCCACCGTTGACTTGATCGATTCCGATGTTTTCTGTGACGGCTTGAGACGCGATCGCCACACTAGCAGGTGTATGGCGTTGATAACGGCCACCAAAGTGAGAATCATGATGATTAACGTGAGAATCAGCGTTTTGTTACGGTAACTGGTCGCGATACGCTGTGCACACGGATGGCGGTACATTTGCCGTGGCCTGAATGATAGGTGATAAATAATGCTTATCATATTCAACTGATTCTGAAAGCATAGGCGAAAGTGCCATTGTTGAAGAATGGTGGGTAAAGTTGTCTTACTAGAAGGGGACGCTCATGTCGTAGGGGGCACTGACAAGAGTGAGCCGCTTACAGAACTTTGGACTGTAAGTCTTAGGGAGCAGGGACTTCTAGGGAAAGCCGGAAGGATATACTCATCTGATCAACTTAGTCACAAATGGGAGTGGCTATGGGGCCAGTATGAAATCATATTCATATAGATGAAAGGCACAGCCCATGATTGAGTCAGTGGAGTGAAATCCTAGCGCAAGGAAAAGTAGAGGGTTTGGTAGGCATACAGGTCGTTCCTACCTCGCGGCACGAAAATGCCAGGTAGGGGCGCTAGGGCGTTGGGTTGCACACGGGGTTCTACCCATCATCCGGGCTTCGCCTACAAAATGACGTCCGATCCGTGCCGCTCACATTCATGCCGTCTGTTCACCGCTTCTTTTCTTTCTTCGTGGAGCTCAGCATTTCTTGTCTTAGACATCCTTCAGCACCAGCAAATTCTTCTATTTTCAATAGTCTGGATGATTTTTCTGACCTTTTTTGACAAATGTCGGCTCTTCCCACCTTTTATCCCCACGCGAAAGAGCCTTATCACCTTGATAAGCTTGAGAAGTTCCTATGCGCTTGGGGTTGTCTCTAAGGGTTCTCTGGCGCGCCATCCGGGTATTACACAGTTGTGATGAACTTACGGTTCAGCTTTCCCGACTTCGTCCCATTTTACTGGCGGGCAAGCAAAGGGCACAATATATTCGCCCTCTCCATCACAGCAATACGATGGAGCGTAGCAAATAGCTGTCGTATTGAGAAGTTCCGTGGCTTTCGCAGAGCACTGGTGAACCCATGAATTCGAAATACGAAAAGAGTTGTTGTACCTAAAAGGACTCTTGAGTGTTACATTTTAGGTTGAAGAAAATAGTCTCTTTGTGGAGTAGGGGTGGGCAATATAATGAGGCTCCAGGTGACAACCACTGAAAAATTTTTAGTGAGTTCTACAGGTGCTGATTACCCAAGACATGCGTGTTATTGTTTCAACACATTAGTTCGAGCTGAGGACGCGTATCGTAAGTTATTTCACTTGCTTTATTCATTTTTTTAGGTCAAATAGGAAGTGGTTCCTGATTGACTTAAAGGCAGTGGTCACGATGGTGGGAGGCGGTACGGTTTTGATGACGTCTTTGGATGCCACTGGTGAAACTAGACTCAGCACGTTGGGGTGTTTGGTACCGCCTCTTGATGCCCTCCACCATTGAGCTCTATGACGTTCCTCAAGTCGTGCACCGCTTTCCTACCATCTATTACTGGCTTGCGCGAGTCTGCCGGAGATTGGCGGGAATAATAAGGTTCGTTTGAGAAGGAGCGAAACGGACCATTTCAATTATTTCGTATATAATGATTTTTTTTCTTAATTTGATATATCGATAAGTCCTATTGAGTCAAAAATTGCCGACGGTAATTCGGTTTAGCCTACTGATGCTTAGAATTGTAAAAATCGTGAACTCACTCCTAAAGCTTTTCACTACTACAGTTGAATTTTCTCCGCGGTAATCTGGGTGATCAGGTGGATAGTTGATCTGCCGCGCTGTATAATAGTCGCTAATGCTGTAGATACCGCAGCATTCGTACTGAATAATCGCTATAATATTGAGAATCCTGGATCAATTACTCTCCGCCTTTTTTCAATAAATGGGTAACTTGTGAGATTCTCACGAATGCGCATTTGTTTCTCTGTTGCACGAAGTTGCTACTGCTTAAATGTTCCGCACAGTAGCCTCTTTTGTTAACGTATTTCAGAAAAAAAGGATGAATGGAGATTGTGTAGTGTTTGAAGACACTGGTGCGTCACCACCACTTAGATATTCAGAGCAATGCTTCAGGTTAATGTAAGTGAAGTGAGCCTCCGCACGGGTCCGCTAGCATAGGGAATCACGGCACACTGACTCGGAAACGCACCAGGCGCACTGAGCCCTTGCTCACCAATCTGCCCAGAGTCAACCCTGCGTTGCGCAGTTCTCAACGGCCACGTTGCGCAGTTTCGCCCGATTAGACACGTTCTCTCGCGCGAACATTCACACTCGCATGCTCGAGCCGTCTGTGTCTCCGCCCATACAGCGTGCGTTGAGGATCTCTCAACGTGCCGTTGAGAACTGCGCAACGCAGGGTTGACTCTGCTGCACCGATGGCCGATCGGCTGTAAGGCATATCGGTGTCCTGCACACAGTCTCTCGTACTGACGTGCTATTCCCTGCTTATTCCTTTCGCTTGCCGCGTCCGTAATATCTCCCGTCATACCGTAGTTGACCGCATATTCACTATAGTAAGTTCTTGTCTTCATTAGGCTCCTGGATTTTCACGAAAAAAAAACGAAAATATCCGTAATCACCTTTTTGTGAAAACTGTTGAGAACCGATCGGAGCGCTAACTCATTTCCTGCTAGAGCTAATCTCACAGTGTGAATAAATAGATAAAAAATAGAATCGATAAATTTTATCTTCGATGAAATCCTGCGTGTCGTTCGATGCGGTGACCCACTTCGAGGAAGATAAAAACTGAATTGTTTCTCTGCTGAAAACTAGTTAGAAGCAATGAAAGGAAAAGGAACAAGCGGGAAATTTTTCTCTGCGTCTGTTTGCGCTTGCTTCCTGGAAACCGAGCCCTGGCATTGGTTTCCTACGTAAAACGCGGAAATGTGTGAAAGGGTATTGGGCTATTTTGGCCCAGGTGGTGGCTTGCAATGGCCGAGTGCTCTAGGCAAATCCAGAGTCAAAGTATATTTGTTAAAGAGGCAGGGCTACTACTGCACAGCCGACGGTAGAGTAGCCTACTCTCGGAATTTCGGCTTTTCTGTTTTTCGTGACCACCGTTCAGAGAAAGTTATTATTTCTCACTGCTTTTGCTCCACTATCAATAATCGTGGCCTCGGCTTGAGCATAAGACCAAAAAATGCGGGTGAAATTGGTGTAGAGGCAAAAGTGCGACTTTCCGCTCTCATGGTTCGGGGTCAAGTCTTGTATTGATCTCAATAGGTCTTTTATTCCTCCTGGAGTTGTCTAATTGACAATAATTTGTCTGCTGGAGTGCAATAATGCAATTGATTTGCACATTTCCTGGCCGTCTTACTTCACTCGTATAATACTGTCGTATTACGCAACTCCGCGATCTGAGTGTAAGTATAATGCATGGCTTATTCCCAGGAATCGATTAGCTCGAATGTTAAGCAATTATTAAACAAATTCCCAGATCACTCACAGCTTGCAGCAGCGAGTATTAAGGATATGAAAATGACAGCTACCACTCCAACTAGATTGCTGGTAATATTGATACCGTACGCAAAACACTGAAAAAGAAAGTCATTGTCTTCGTAGCACAGCTCCGAGTATTACTGTAGCGGACCTTACGCCCACACTGCGGCTTCTCACAAGTATTTGTTTGGTGATCTCGCCCAATTGGCTCTACCTACGGCTGAATCTCGCTAGTTCTCTCACCAAATAGAAACTTCTCTCTCCGGATTTCCCTTCCACCAAAGTAACCTAAACAATTCATTAAAAAACCGTCTGTACTCTAGCCACTGCGCCACTTGTGCTCAGCAGCTACGGCTTATTTACTGAACGCAATGCTGTGATCATTTGTGACTTGGTGGTTGGGAGCAAACTTAAGTAGTGGCCGGGAACTCTGAAGCCACCTGGTACCTGCTCTGTACATTTATCGATCGAGAATCTTATTTCCAATAGGACAATCTAATTCTTGGATTACCAGGAAGTTTTGGCTGAGTGAAGCGTTCTCACGACAAAATCACAATTGTTCTATCAAACTTAAAGGCACACTCCGTGAATAAATAGCTGTAGGGTATTACATTAGTAAAGGAAATCAGTTGGGATGATTGGTGCGCCAGTAATGAAAGTAAAGGAAAAAGCAGTCAAAAACCCTTTGAATCATTCTGCGCGAATTGGGTGAGGGGGGGGGGGATTGACCTATGCTTCCATACGAATCTCGTTTGTTGATCCATCTCGTGTCCATCTTATCATGTCACGTTCACCGGCGCCACTCAAAACTTTATGAATGGGGCGGAGGAGAACCCACCTTCATCAATAGAAGCAAGGTGATTTCAGGGGATCTCAGCCGTTTTGTTTTTTGATTTCTTCCATAAGTTGTGTACCAATTATCACAACAATAATCTTTTCAAGCGCTGTAATCCCTACCTATTTAATAGCAAATTGCCTGATGGGGCGGCCATGCAACTTGTGGTCTGAGCTGTCGTTTTCGTTTGTATTACTTACTAAAACTTCCCCGCGCTCCACAGCTTCATAAAAGTCATCTGAGTGAAGGAATTTTGTGAAGGAATTTTTACCTGATGGATCAACACTGCATTAATCGCCGTCATAACCAGGTACTTACCACCCCTAACCTTATTCGACTGTACAGTCCCATTGTAGAAGATCTTCATCTGGAATTCGAGTTTCGCGTTTTTTTTCGAGATGTTGTTCCTAGCCCGTAAACGGATGAAATAAGCCAGCAAACAGCGTATTGTAAGAAGACACTGCCACCTGCATTTTCTCGATTTTCTCGTTCTTTTGGGATCTATGTCATGCTGTACAGTATTACTGGCGAAGGGTTGAGGGAGAGAGGGGGAAGAACTGCACGAAAATTAGAATTTTTGAAGACTTTTTTCGGTCCGCCTACGAACCGATCTTGACGTTCTATTGGCCGCGATGGTTTTGCCAGAGCCCTGAGGGGGGGGATGGGCAGCCTATACGTTGATCTCAGTGGTGTTTTTTTCTTCATCAGACAATTGTAGCATTGCACATAGGGACGTGCCATTCCAGGTGCACGCAGCTTTCTCCAAAATGGCTTCTGGATTTCAGGGTACTCAAATGCGGACTACAAAATGGAGGTTCGTTTTCGCTGAGCGCTCCGCAAAGACCAAAAAGTGGTGAGGAATGGTCTGAGGTCCAATCCCCCGTGATGAGAAATCTTTTGCATTATAGGGTGAGCTTCCAAATCTGCTTCAAAGCTTTATTAGGCTTTAATCACACCGAAGTGCAAATAGTGAACGATTGCCTCGCGTGATGGAACGTTAGTGGCATCTACGGATTAAATTTACCTGGCACGGGTATTGCGCTCTTTCCCGCTGCGCAACCGTCTACCTTCTTAATGAAACTACTTTGTAGCGTGAGATCCCTGCTACCTTTAATGATCACCCTTTGGATACCACCAGGGCGCAATGAGTCTTCGCGTTAAGTTGGACGCGCTACACCGATTGCTTTCGATTTTCCAGTATTGATCGATCTGCTGTCGATGGGTGAACGACAGCAGCGCTCCCTGTCATAAGGCCATACTTTTGAACTATCTCACATTAGATCGTCGTTTCTCGAATGCTTGCACTTCAGAATGTGATAGTAGCGTAATACGTTCAGATTTTTTGCAAAAAAAAGGAATGAGCGCAATCGGGATCTGACATAAACTGCACAAGCCACACACAACAACTGAGCATAAGCTGAAATGGAGGAATAGTTTCTTAGTCACAGGCATGGAATATTTCAGGTTGTCGGAAAAGTCTTTAACCATTGTCGACTTTTTTTCAAACTCACTTTTTTTCTTTAGCACACTCAGCAATTTGCAAAAATATGTGGCCACACATTATTGCAACCGATGACGCCTTTCAGAAGTGATCCCGGTAGAGGCGCTTGTCCGGATGTCCTGAGTTTTTGAGGCAAAGAAACTCGAAGAAGGAAATTTTCGAGTAGGTCCGGTTCATCAAGCTCTCCCTCTTTTAGTTGATTTGACAGCAACGGAGGCAGATGGTAGTGTGTTGGTGACAAGGAACTTTCCCACAACGGGCCGTCCCAGCTTCACCATCTCTGAGTCGGCGTTGGAATCCTCGGTTCTACGCGTCTGGGCCACTGACGCGTCGGGGTCTGGTTTGCGTAAGGAAGCCACTCGTAGTTACCACCAACAAAGTAATTGGTTCAAACAAGAGACGGTGGTAAATTAAACGTTTTACGAAAATCTGAAGCCATATGGATAGTGTGATAGCTTTGTTGAACTGCACACGAGGTTGATATTGACAGTTTATTGGCTAACGTTTCGGCGAGTTCGCCTTCTTCGGAGCCTAAAAGGATGGAAGTCGAGTTTATGAGTATCCGACCAAAAATCTCCACACACCTACTAGATTTCGACACCACCTAATCATCACGTAATCACGCAGAAGAAGACAATACCGTCAGCAGCCCTACAAAACTATACTAATCAATCCTAACATGCGGGTCACCAGAGAGCGAGCATGGCGCTCTGAAAGCGGTAGTCATTCAGATCACGAAATTCTTTTTGCCATAACTTCTCTTCTTTGAGAAGATATTGAGAAATGGCTATTGTGTTCTGATAACTGTGGGAAGTGCGTCAATTCCTGTGCCTCGTCCGGAGAGACTCTAGACAGAAACAGCTCCAGAAGACAATTGACATTCAGTGTAACAGGCCAACCGAATTAGTGCCGTTTTATAGTTTCTGACATTGGCAATAGACTAACTGCCATGTTGGGAAACACAGTCTTGGTCTACCGCAGCACTTAGGCTTCGTATCTCTTGCACGGGGCCTAAACATGCTTTCAGTCAAGGATAATTTTCTCAGCCACAATCACCGCGGAATACAACTGCAGAAATGCTCTGGAGAGATCTTGACCAGGGTTGTTTATTCTTTTATTTATTTATGACTATTGATTACAGAAATAGAACAAGTAATTACCGTATGTTTCACAATGCATGTTCAAAGATCATTGTTAAAGATTTTACAACATACAGATGGAAATGGCCAAAGAATTTTCCCGACAACCTAATATTATTCATGAGCGAAACGAGGTAATTTTACCTGTATTAGTTGATAGCAGACAGCAATTAGAACTTTTCTATGGCTTCGAATAAGATTACCGACTGGTTTTGGTGCGGCACGTGGCAGTAACGGTGTATTGCTACTGAAGCAAATATGTAAACAATTGATTCAGAACTTGCTTTCATAGTTATTGTATTTGAACAGCGTTCAGAGTTGGTGACCGTATATGCGACTAGGCGATGAGACGATTGGGCGAATGGGCGAGTATGCGATTAGGCGATAGTTCAGTGGACAGGGTAAGCAAATCGACACGTATCCTGGCGCTCATGTCCTTAGAGGGGTGGGGGACATTGAAGTGAGTCGGCCTAATACAATTCGAGACAGAGCTTCAGGGGAATGGGAAAGAGATCTGAGAAAGGATGGGAGCAACCACCGTTCCCTGGCGTTTATTCCCACTTACCTGCGAATTTTGAAATGCTCTGTTCTGAATGTCCTAGGACATGAGCGTCCGTATCTTTTTTATGATGTAATATGCAGAGCGAGCACTGGAACGGACACTGTTGGACATCAACCAGAAAGAGTAAAGGAGCCACAACTTGGACAGTACAGACATGCTCAATGTCCGGCATCCGCGACGCCCCAACGTATACTCCCCGCGGGACGCAAAATGGGCCGGGAGGTGGTCAGATAAGCGGACGATCGTTTAGCCACTTGTATCACCTTCTGGTACCCACGAGAAGCGCTTGGCCCCCTGCAACATACTGGTTGAAAGACTTCCTGAGGAAACTCCAAGAAGCTGTGGGCCAACACTGGCCCGAACCACCCACAATCGTCAAAGCTGCTCGTCGCTGAAGATCATCGGTCGACAGTGAGCATTCTAGTATCCAAGGAAGTATCCCTAATTGCTTACTTGCCCTATCGCTTACTCGCCTAATCACCTAACCTGTACGTATAATTTTTTTGTATCATCGCAAATCGCATGTACGATCGCCAACTCTGAACGCCGCCTTCAACATCTACAATTTCACATTTATCGCTATCCAATGAATACACGCAGTCGATTTCCATTTTCCACATATGCGCGATTTTGATGCGGTCCTATTGCAGTTAGTGCCATCATAGCTATGCGCGGTAGGAATTGAACGTCGTCAAGTTGGCTGTGAGAATAAAGCCTTTGAACCCGACGCAAGAGCCATATTGCAGGCCCAATATGTTCTTCTTCATATCTACGAGGAGCAGCCGCTTTGTTGGTACTCGGAAGAAGAAATGATTGAGTACCGTAAATGATTGAGAAGAAATGATTTGACTGCGCGGTGATATCGGCTGATTGTGATTGAAGGCAGTCTCCTGGATAAGGCTACTGAAGTAGTCTCTTTGGTAGGTGGAATGGAGTTGTTCGCGTACGTCGTCGACCTGCATTGACATCGCTCAAAAGAGCGTAACAAGGGCTCTAGGGTTCTACTAATGCTCTCGGCTACCGGCCGTAACCGGTAGCTGTTTGGGGCTGGCCCTAGCGGCCGCTTATCTGTGCCCTCTCGTGCGGCGTTCTCTCTCGCGTTTTCTGTCTTCTCTGCTCACTTTGAATCTCCGTCACACTCGCACATACAGAAAACCTAGGCCTTAATTCAGTGTTTCCGACCGCTCCTTTTTTACTCTCAGCCTACTCCACTCATCGTTGGGCTTGCCTTTGAAGGACATTCCACGTTATGACCGCTGGACCGGATAAGGTCGTTATACAGTAAGGGTCCTCTCACGACTGGAAGCATCTAAAGGAGGGGGGGGGGCTGGAAACTTATGGTTAGGGCATAGTTCATACGGTGGTGACCAAACCATTAGAGCTTGGTACGTTACCAGCTTCGACATGCCAAGAGTGCGTATCGATCGCTGCCGCTAGTAGTTGCATGATAATCAGCAGCTTCTGTCAGCAATCCCGGTTTCCCAGAAGGATAGTTCTGAGTTCTGAGTTTTTATAGCAGTACTGTACAAGTTCTACCATTTTTGCACTTGTATTTTTGGAATACGTTGGTGAAAATTCGCAAACCTGACTAAAGAACTTAGTGTACTTTCGGCGTTCGGTGATTGTACTGAAAACAAGTCATTTCTTAGAGTTATTTCGTTTTGATGGATCGCGATGACTCACTGTTAGGCCGGTCCGAAGATTCAGCTATGGTGATGAGCGCTTGCGGCTACAACACCGCACCGTGTAGCTGCACAACGCTAACTGAAGTGAAAACTCCCTAATCCATCCGATTTTCACTGTTTTCATTTTGAGTGATAGTTCATAATATCTTGCTTATCCGTCGAATACAGTATCCTCTTCGACAATGGTAGGCTTTTTTGATTGAAATCCGGGTCTATCGTGAAACGATAGTCATCTTGTCCATACTCAGCTAACAGAGAACGTTTAGTACAGTGAGAAAGAATTTTTCATTCGTTGTTGGGGCGCAGGCTTGAAAGACAAAGGATTATTTTGGCTCCATCACTACATGGAGGAGCATCCTCTAAGACTGGGGGAGGAACCCCAGTGAGTATAAAATTGCTTTACACTGGGGTCCCACCCTTCTCCCCTATGGCTCAGCCAGAAAATGCTATTTAAAAGTGTATGTTGCAATTCCTGGAGCTTTGCAACAGCATTACCCCCTCATCTCACCTTAGCATCTTCACTTTCTTTGAGCAGTTCTGAGAATGGGGAAAGGAGAAGAAAAGGCTGTACATCATCTTGGAGGCGGCAGACATATATGCATATTGAGAGATGGCTCTTCGGCAGCTAAAAGTATGGTATTAGGCACACAAGGGAAATTAAGGTGGGCTGAAGAATGGCTAAGGTACTGTCACCCAGAAATTTAAAGCGTGAGCCATGTTTTTTCGCATAACCTAGGCTGACATCTATAAGCAAATGTTCCTGCTGAGCTTTCTTGCGAAGGTCCCTTCAAAAAACTTGTGCAGTAGATAACAACCTTCCTTCTTATGGTCAGCATTAGTGTCACACAACTTCCAGAAAAGCTCGATGTTGACTTCGGTCTAGCCGGGGACTAATCGAGGTTCTTCCCTAACATTGGATACATCCAAAAGAGACGGAATGAAGTCGGCAAAATTGAAAACAGGGCGCGGCTGGGCAAAAAACCGTTGAATAGCGCAGCGCGGGCAAACGCGTGATAGTCTCGAATTTCAAGGTGTCGTCTGCATCGGCAACGTTTTTTTTTACCTTCTTGTGAATCAGAACGCGAATCTAGCAGAACAAATTCTAGGCCAGTGTAAGTTTCAGGTTCCTCCGCTTTGTTTCCGTACTTTTGAAAGGATTTTGTTAAATATTGGAGCCGACGGCAAAAAATCCTAGGACTACACAAGTTTTCCTCACTTTTCAAATTTTTGATCTGTCCGGCATCATGAATAATTCGAGTTTGGTGTCCGTTATAGTCATGGCTATAAGGCGCTACCTCTCATTCAAGAAAGGGGCCAAATAATATTTTCTACACTCGCCCGGTGACCATCATGGCGATTGTGATTATTCTCGAACACTCAATGAACATCTCTGCGATAACCCTCGTGAACCTCATCACATACGGGACGAAAAACAATCGGGGCCCAGGGGGCGACAGCATGGCAGCTAATCCGCGAGAATAGCGGGTGTAGTATCTAGCCAAACCCCCACCATCAAAACTCTGGGGTCTAAATGTCCGTGTCCGTTTCAATTTCGTATTCCGGATTGTAGGGTTTAAAAAAGGACCCCCATGGAAAACTGCTTCCTTTGCATATGAATTCATTTTGAAATTACACATTACTCAATGGTTTAACTAAAATTAACAGAAACAAGTGAACATTGAAGAGTAGGAATCATAATGATGAGGGAAACAAAAAGTTTCCAAACTTTTGACGCGCCATTTTTTGAAAAAAATTGGTGGTTTGTGGTTTGCCTTCAAGGCTGTGGTGTTCTTGATGGAGCTGCTGAACCATTTTTAACAGATCCTTTTAGCGTGTCTAGCCCTTCATCTGCACAATATGTATTTCGAGAGAAATCTCTCGCTGAGTGCCACAGACGGAATTCTTAATGTGGACAGTGATAGTTGAGATGGGTGACATTTTTTGATCCTAGAGACGAGCGTCGCCAAATTTCATGTATGGAAGGTTACTACGCAGTCACATATCTCTTTGCTGGAACTTTCGAGAAAGGTGGGCGCGAAGAAAATCGGCAACTCACTTATACCAACTTTAATAAATGGCCAGCGGTAGCTGGATCTAAAACATTATCAAGAAGTTTAGCGGTATCTGTCCGTCTCGTCTCGGCGCAGAGAAATTTAGCGGTATTGGATCGTCGCGTCTACGCAGATGGCCGGCAGTTCAACAAGGTTGCCGACCTGAAGCAGAATATCCTTGAGGAATGGGTATTTATTGGTATTCAAACAAGTGAATTTGCACAACAGCATTCCTAATCATTTGGTTCTTGTCATTCTGCACAATTTTTTGACACGTTGGCTATTGAAACGGATTATTTCTGTATATTTCTGTGTTTTTCAGCATTCAAATGGAGGACGTGCTATGATTTTGAAGCAGCTTCGTTAACTATTTCCTAGAAAATTATAAAGAACCAATAAGGACACCAGCCAAACCGAGAATACAGGGTTTTTATGGAGGCGGACTTGATTTTACAGGTTGCGATAGACGAAGTCTTCTGGAAACCGAGGTACTCAAAATTTTGAGGGTGTCTTATAATTTTTCAAAGTACCACAAATTGTCCTTTTTTGCGCTTCAGAACTAGAAAGGCACATTCGAGAATACCTTTCACTTATTGGCGCTATGTTGTCAGTAACTGCAGTATTTGTCCCTAGTTCCTGACTGCCATACCCTCTACTTCATTGTTTTTTCGAATAAATATTTTTGATAATGTACAGGAATATTACTAATCAGAATCACTCATAAGCTCCATGTGCATATCGGTAGAATTTGCGCTTCATCGATTGTTAGGCCACAGAACGTGGGCATTGCAAAGTAGCGCTACGGCTCTCGTATGTCACGTACCCTCCCTTTCAAAAAGCGAGAAAGCGTCGGGTGCAGACCATACACCACAAGTGACGACGGCCTCACAAATGTTAATGTTTTCTGCCAATGAAATGATTAGCCTGTTGCAGTTGTATTCTATCGTTGTCACTAATTACAACTATCATTTTAATCAGCTATCACTATGAACCACTACTAACCAGATTTACTTGGAGGCCGTCGTCAGTTGTGGTGTATGGTCTGCACCCGACACTTTCTCGCATTTTGAATGGGAGGCTAGCTCCGCTGAAGATTGTTGAAGGTTTCAGGAAAATCGGATAGTTCGAGAATCCATGAAGAACTCTTTTTTTGTTCACCATCGTCAACTAGGCCCCCATTTCATAAGTCTGGATTCAGTTTATGTATGAAATGAATTATGTTTTCAGAACGGGTGCACACTGTTTTTCAGACCTGTAATTGAATCGCTTCCGAAGTTCATATGACATGTTGCAAACACAGAATTTTTGAGAAAAAAGACACTGTTTATTGAGCAGGCTGGCAATGGCAATTAATCGAGTCACTACGCAAGCTTGCAGCTGCTCACCCATGTATTATATTTTCGTGTTACGAAGCAGGATCAAGCGAGGTGACGAGGAAAATTTTGAGATACGCCCCCCCCCCCCTCCCCAACGGTCAAAGTCTTTGAAGCGACTCCTCAGACCCACCCTCCACCATAAAAGCTTTTCAACAAGTAAGAGGAGTAAAAAAAACATTAACAGTGAGTCCTGCCAACAAACGGAGCAAAAGACGACAAACTAGTCTCTGAAAATGGCATACCATGACAACCTCTTCTTTATCTTTTTCCTTGTCAAAGGTATTACTAAGCTTAAAGCGAGAGATTGCGATAGGATTCTGTTGTGCTCATAGTGGAAGTGAAGATGCTGAATAATGCCCTAGTAGCGAAAAAAGCAAAGAAATCCGTCAAAAACGCGCAAAATGGGACCACTTCCTCTGCCCGTTGACCTCCGATAATGGACGAGTTGGCAACCAACTAAGAGGTCGTCGGCACTCGTTAAACCATAGCTGCCATCATACCACCAGAGATCATACCTTGATTGATATAGCATTCCATGAGAAAAAAATTGGATACGCGCTCGAAGTGGCATACCTTATCAGAATGATAATCGAACAGCGATCTGCTGAAGAGGGAACAGGAGCAGCAAGCGGAAAAAGCGATGGTCGGGCAGCTCAAGAAAGGAAAGATTGGCAGCTCCAGGGTAGGCGGTGGCGAGACGCAGCCAAGGCAGCGTTGAAGTCACAAAAAGGCGCCCGGGGAGGCACCTCGATGGCTTAACCTTGAGGCTCTTCAGCCTATCCCTGCGTTTGACACGTGTCTGTCGTTTTTCGATCGCTAGTCAGCAGATACCCATTTCATGTTAATGCTCGCTTTAGTTTACTACACAGTGAGCTATGCTTCCAATCTAAAACTCCACACCCTCCTTAGTGTCCCTTCGTTCGACGAAAACGGCCTCTGTAACGCCTTAGCCAGAGGCCGTATCCTCCATCCCTTAGGGCGACGGCGTCGCCCTGCTGCTGATTCTATCCTGCGGCTGGGGATGCAGGATTGCGCCATGGGACCCGCCATTGACCGCGTGATGTTGTAGCTACCCACCCCTGTTAACCCTTTGGCGACAATGGCACCCACCGGTGGGTGCCACTATGACCGTCGCGTGGGACAATGGCACCCAATGGTGGGTGCCACCCTAAAATTTTTCTTCCTTACCCATTTAAAACATTTTCAACATATCAGTAGTTACATAAGCAAGCTCCGTTACGCCTATGTTTAGCATATTTTGCAAATTTTGTTACTAGCTAATTTATATGAAGTTTTAGGATATGGCACTTCGCTCGGCGATGTATTAATTAGTGTTTTACATTATTAAGCTTAAGGTGAATTACAGATCAGGACCTCTACGTCTTTTCACAGTCTTAAGACACAAGAAGGAGTTTGAACTATATCAAAAATTCTACTGTACATTTGAATTTCTAGAGTTTTCAAACACCATCCCTTTGAAATCCGAGATTTCTTTCCAAACTTCCACTTCTAATTCCAACAATACATGATCATAAAGCTTAAGACTGCAGTCATATTTTATTTATTGTCATAGTCAAAATTTTGATAGAAAAACTGCTTTTAGGGATAATTTTGTGTCCC